ATCTGTTCGTTGGCTGGGCAGAGCGAAACTACCGCCTAGGCAAGCTTCTGATGCGCCCAGTTTTCCAACCTGTGCTTTGAAGTACTACTATGTCGGAGCTTCGACTCATCCGAATGAGATCGATGAGTTCGTTGTAGAAGGCGTCCCTTTGGGTATCAGAACTGTAATTGGTCGGTGAATATGCTGATACGGTGAACAAACATCTTTTAGTGTTGCTTCCCTTCTGGACGCTGATTGAACCCTGGAGACGCACTGCACATAAATGACTGTTGACGGGGATCCAGTCGATAAGAGAGGACTCCGCCCTGTTGCTGAGTGCAATACCTACCCCGCGCTGACCCACTGAGCGGGCTTCGTCGTCGCCTGATGTGCGAAGAACATATCTCGAAGACATCTGGCGCGCTCAAGTGGCTTATAGTAGTAGGATCTTGGATACGAGTCCCCGACACGCAACAAATATTGATCCCCAAGGATTCCATTGTACGCGCCAGAAACTTGTTAACCTACCTGCATTAGGGTCCTCGCGTTGAAGGCCTCCAGATTCAGTGATTGACGAGGCTTTAGAAGCTGCAATTCGTTTTGAGATACATTACTTACAGTGCTATTTGGCAACGACCTTTGACGAGCGACATCCAAGTTGCTTGAGGGACTATTACAGGTCGGAAGAAAGGGAAAATAGAGAGGGCCGGGTAGTGAAGACAAAGAACTAAACAAAAGTTGGAATATCTGAGCAGTAACCCATTTATCACTACCCACCCCGCTCGATTCAATAGGCGGCGCGGTTCTGATTTTCCTGCGCGACGACCGATACAGTATGAAATTATTTTTATTTTATTTATGTATTGCGGTTTGATGGGCGGGTACTGCTAGAGTGTCCAGCCATTAAGCAAGAGAACGATTAGGTTACTCGTTCTAACAAGTTCTAACAAGAACCCAACGGCAAGGCAGCGGGTGAAGCGAAGTGGAGACCCATTTGCTTGGATCGATTATTCCTCCACCATTTTTACCGACTAAAACGCAAATTCCAATCGAACTCCCTAACCTGGAGGACCAGGAGACTGAACTTCGCCTGACCTCTACCCATTGACCTTCCAGGCATGGTAAGTTTTCCTGGCCTGACAAAAGCCATCCTGTGTAGCTCGTTGGGTCACAGAGGTGTACAAGCCATCACACCACGTCAAGGTGCAGTCTCGTTGTGACCCATCATCCTTTGGACAGGAAGCATCACCTAGTTTAGGAGTCTCGCATAGCCACTGGTTGTCCGCAATAAATTTGACATACGGCTGCATCAATGACCGAATGAGAAGTTGTCATCCCACTAGTGCTTAGTTTCTCCCCAAAGTTCAAGAGAGAAGAACATTGTTCCAGCTTGTCGCGCATTTGGCGATCATGACCCTTGAAGTTCTTATTTCTCTGTGAATTACTTTGCAAACGGCACTTGTCGTTGGACTATAATGTATTCATCTTCTTTCTCAGTACGCTCGTCATTCGCGCACCATGCCTTCATGTGCATAATGAAACGCTGAAATATCTACAGCTACTAGCGAACAATTTACTGTCCTTTCTGCTATCCGGGATCTGGTCAGGTAGCGTGCAGTCCTACTCCACGGTACTGCGATGTCTGTTTAAGCTAGATTTCTCGAAATACACTGGATGCATATCTGTATTGGTCTCCTGTTCAGTTCTCGGAATTTGCCTGACGGCTTTTTACATGTACAAGACATTCTTTGTCTGCCAGCTGCACAGTGGTATTGGTCGCTGGTGATTTGCAAGATAATCTTTGGGACTAAGGTAATGGAGGATGAGTCACAAAGAAATGGACGGTCATTGGTGCACGACCCATTCAAATACACAAGTGATCGCACAAAAGCTCATCTGCTCCATGGTTTCTGCGGCCAATAAACTATGTAAATGCTTAAACAGTTTAAGTTATTCTGGTCCTTCTCGAATTACTTTGTGGAAAAGGTATAACACATTAACTCCACAAAACTGCAAGCCGTTTTTCACTCAATCGGTCAAGCTACGTGACTAACTGAAGGTGTACTCTCCTACCTTTTTATTATTCCTCTTACTATATCCATTATCATGTTGCGCATTTTACCAATTTGATAGTTATTTTAAATCCCGGTTTACGATAATTCTGATGGTCATTTTCTTCCGTCTGAACTGGCTGTGACATCAAATCTGTCCGTTTCCAAAACATTTTTCAGGCATCGGTGCTATCCCTGACGCAGTCTTGTCGAAATTGACCAACCACAGACACTTGGGTGTTCACACTGAGATGTTTTCGGATGGTGTAGTTCAACTCGTTCAATTGGGTGCGATTACCAATGCATACAAAAAGCTCAGACCGGGGAAAGTTGTGGCCAGTTTTGTCGTGGGTACTCGGAAAGTATTCGAATTCTTGGATAACAACCCAATGATTGGTGAGTTTTATGAATCCTCTCTCTCCACCTGTACCCACACGTGATAAACTATTCAGTTTAGAAAAGTCTCACTTAAAATGCTCTCTTCGCTTGTGTCGTATTCATTTTTCACTTTTTACAACAATTAGCCACACACTTTAGTGCGCTCCTTTTGGTTGCTTTCTTTTAGCTTCCCACTTGGTTAAAACAGCAGATGGAAGATTGGGATGTTGAGAGCAGAGTCCAAGAGAAGATAGAGAATTCACACACTGGGATTTCGAGAATAATGAGCAGATGTACAAGTGTCAATGTTTGCGGCACTCACCATCCATCAAATTCCCATCTCTAATCTGTCTGGTGCAATGCACTGTCGACCGGTTCAATACTGCGCTCGCCTCATTTAGGCATTGTGTAGTTCGCTACTCCTAGGTCTTGGGTCATCGATTCCTATAGTGGGACGGTAGATCTTAGTGACTACGAAATCATTCTTTTCTGTTCTTGACTAGTTCGTAACGAGGAATATCTTTTTATCAAGTATGACTATTACATTAATTGAAAGTTCCAAGTACGGATGTCGTCATGACCCTCCAGTTTGAGTGAAAATAAGAATTAGTGATACCAAGTGTACGTATATGGTTAAGAATAGTCCAAACAAACCACAATACAATGATCTTCATAAAGAAGAAGAAAAATGTCCGTGATTTGTTGTCACTTTGGTGGGAAAACCGTCCCCACAAGAAGGTAGTAAATAGATCTTCCTCAGCAGAGGCTTTTTGCGGCGCTTGGTTGTATGGGAGCATTTAGCGAGGTGCAAGGGAGGGATGACCAGCTGCAATCCTAGACACCCACAACCGACCATACCCAGGCTTTCGAATGCCAAGTGTAAACGCAAAACAGTGAATAATTGAGTTCAAACATTAGCTTGACTTGCATGGAGTGGTTTTACTGTTTTGTTTTCTATAACCCCCGACCAGGCACTTTCGGTTTGCGGTATCAACCGCCAGTTGGAAGATGCTTTAAGGTGGTCATTCCTTTGCAAACAGCTGAAGCGTGTGAGCACCTTAAGAGTTTAACTCCGCCGCTCTGTTAGATCTAAGTAAACCAAATCCTCCTTGTTTGGGGGTGGGGGCCTTGGGGGCTTCTAAACAGTGGCGCTTTCGTTTCTTGTTAATAATCTCCAGTCATAGATTGTCCCTCTATTAAGGTTTTATGTGATGACAGTCATATCCGTTTGACTTAGTTGGTTCCATTCACTGCCATCACCATCACAAAATACACAGAGTTATAACACTTTCAATGTGAACAGCAAATTGCATCCGTTATTTTGGTCGGTTTGGCCGGTTAAAATTGCAAATTGTTGTTCTGATGAGTTGTAAAATGAATTTCAACTTTTTTTGTTGATGCGATGTCTTGTTTTTGTCTTTCTCATTTTCTTTCAATTCATTCATACGTATCCCCATTCAGATATGTGTGATGCAGCTTGGGTCAACTCGCCCGTTACGATTGCACAAAATCCCAAACCTGTCGCAATCAATTCTTGCATTGAAGTCGATATCACTGGACAAATCTGCTCTGATTCCATCGGTACAACAATGTACTCCGGTGAGTTTCAATAATTGCAATGTGAGTCGTGATGTCTACGCCGAATGAAAGCAAACTACTGCACTACTTCAAGAATTCAATGCAACGATGCTATTAGGATAATGTTTTTGTGACCCTAACGAAGCATTTGCTGCGAAGTCCAGAACTAAAATAAAGACTCCGATGGGAAACTTTGTCTGTGATTTTTTCCGGGAAGCAAAGCGAGAAAGAGCTATTCCTTCACCGTAGTCGTTCGTTATACCTTGATCCTATTCAGCGCCAAGTGGTATACATACACCATCACGATGGGGCTGTACACCGGTGTGGTTTGATGGCGTGTGCGCCTCTCTGACCCAACGAGGTACGCAGGATAGATTTCGTCAAGTCGAAGATCTAATCATGCCCGGAAGGTCAAGGGGTAGAGGTCAGCCACAGTCCAGTCTCCAGGTTTGAAGTTCAACTCGAGTTGTAGTCTCAGTCAGTAAAAAAAATTGCTGGAGGACCAAGGGACCCAAGTAAACGGGCCTCCATTCCACCTTAGCCGATGCCTTGCGGTTATGTTTTTGACGAGAATCCTAATCGTTCTCCTGCTTATTAGTCGGACTCCCTAGCAGTACCCGTCCATAAAGCTCCAACGAACAAACTAAAAATAATTCCATGCTGCATCGATCGTCGCACAGGATAATCAGGACCGCGCTGCCCATTGCATCGGTCGGAGTGGGCTATTGCTCAGATATCCCAACCCTTGTATATTTCTTTGTCTTCCACACCTGATCCTCTTCCTTTGCCCTTTCAACCTGTAACAGCCCCTCAAGCAACTTAGTTGTCGCTCACCAAAGGTTGTTGCGAAATAGCATTGTAATTAGCTTAGCACTAAGTAAATTGCATTTTCTGAAGCCTCACCAATCACCGAATCAGGGGGCCTTCAACGTGAGGACTCCGGTGCAGGTGGGTCTTCAAGCTTGTCTGGTACGTACAATGAAAGTTAGTGTTTGTTGTTTAGCGGAGTCAAATTCAGGATCCTAGTAATAAAAGCCTCCTTAGCGTGCCTTGGATATCCTCGAAGTGTTTCCTTCGCATATCAGACGAAGCCCGCTCTTTGGGCCAGTGAGGTGCAGGAATCGTACTGAACGGTAAAATAGGACTCATTAATAGATTGGATACTCGTCAACAGGTAACAAAGTGCCCGATTGATGTTGATTGATTTTTCCTCTTATTCATAAACGTCCATGGGGATTTCCAATTGCACTCAATTTGAAGCTGTCAGCATTAATTATGTCATATTTCTTTCCCTCTACAGGCTTTGGCGGTCAAGTCGACTTCCTCCGCGGCGCAGCAGTTAGCCTTGACGGCCAGGGCAAACCAATCATTGCCGTGCCCTCGGTCACGAAACGCAACGAATCAAAGATTGTGCCTCATTTGAAATTAGGTGCTGGTGTAGTGACAACTCGTGCACACGTGCACTACGTTGTGACAGAATTNACAGAATTCGGCATTGCTTACTTATTCGGGAAAAGCTTACGGCAACGCGCCCACGCGCTCATTCAAATCGCACATCCAGATCACCGGTTAGTTGCTCTAGATGCCCACAAATTTTTTTTCAATATCAATATCGTGTGCATTTTTGTGAAATTTTTCCCGTAGACGTACGTCTCATGTTCTGATTGGGCCCAATGATTCTGTATTCCTCCATTCATGATCTGGGTTAAAGCAGTCGTCTACCAGCACTGCACAAAAAACTGGCAGTACTTACAGATACAGGATCGAGTGTTTGTTTCCATATTGTCGGTGTTGTGGTCATTCTTATTACTCAGTAACTCAACATTGGGTACCTACTTACTTTACTGTGTCTGGTTCCTGGGAAAGAATAAGCCAACTCCATGAGTGTGCAGACCAAATGCTCTTGGCGTTTCATGGGAGTTTGTTACGAGAGACATTCTCATTATCTTTCGACTTTTTTAAGACAAACTTCTAACCTTTGCACAGCCAAGGGCGGGCTAAGGCAGTTTGTGTTTGCCAGTAGCTTCGTGGGACCTTATTTGTCATAGGGTGGAGGTAGCTACAATCCCATGCATCCTCATTATTGGGACAGTTTCATTCATAGCCGTCAGATCGGATGGTAGATCTCATCCGCCCATTCCGGAGTAGCTGTCTTCGCACACCGTACACCGTTTCGCTAAGGCTTTTGTAGCCGGTTTGCTCGTCTGACTAGTGGTCTCCCGGGATGTGGCCGCTGGTGTACGCCTCAGCTTTGTGGAGCCATAGGTGAAAGTTGGGTACGTGAAGGAGACCAAGGAGGAGGCGGATTCCCTTAAAGGGGCACTTCGGTTTACCCATTCGGAGCATTCGACAGAATGGCCTAACCCATAATGAAATGGGAGTCGGTGTACCGTCTTTCGAGTTATCCTACTGCTCGAGCTCCCACACCGAGATTGTCTAGTCGAACAGGTGACTGCATACCTACTAACCACTGGATTGCTTTATTCGTATCACTGTTTAGTGAAAACAGTAGTAGTACACAGTCCCCTGGACGAGAGCGAGCTGCAGCTGACAGGAAATTCTGGTGGCTGTAATGTTCGGGTTTGTGACCTGTGGATCAATCTGAAATTGACTTATCGTTTGACCACCACCGCCAAATTTTTCAGACGGACTAGCTGTCAGTGGCTCGTCACCCCGATTATGGCCTTTCTTACTTGAGTGAAAATTCTTCGAGAGAAAGTAACGGACTTGACTTGACTGGAGAGATTCTAAACGCAAATCATTGGAAAGCGGAGGCTAACTAACCGATGGTGACGTTGGTTTCGACTAACCATCCTTCATCCTGGCGCNCAATAACCTCGGCTCAATCACCCGGCCGTACGGTCAGGAATCATTGGACTACTTTCGCTCTTGTCAGAGGGGGTCAGTAGATCCCATTGAGCGACCCGTCCGGGATTTGCATTCCGGACATTTTGCGCTTAAACAAAAAAAAGGTTTTAAAGATGATAAACAGCGGTGTGGAGAACAACTCTCTGAGGCTCTGATCATCAAGTTTAGGATAATTTACTGTTTTGTCGAGGTCCCATAACAAGATAAAGACAAAGGATGTACTGGATAAGCAAACTATGAAGATGGAAATCCCTCGATATCGAATTAATTGGAGGCATATGGTGTATGCACTGCAATGGCTAGATGGTTGAAGATTTTTCATTGTAGCTTCGCTATCGTCCCGCCTAATACCTCGTCTTACGTGGTTTCCACGGGTTTCCACGAGTGGACAACAGGTCCTCGTGATTATTTGGTCTATCCCGTTCCCTGTTCGTCACATAAAAGATATGTAGTAAAAATGTATATTGAGTAAGTGAGAGTGTGTAAGGTGGGGGTGGGTGAGCCCACTTTGAAAGAGAGGGACAGAAAGAAAACTTCTGGTTAACACAGAGTATACAGTCTATCTGTACATGCCCACCTTTCAATCATTCTGGCCTGATAAGATGTGACAACAAGTGTGTCACTACTGTCGGTTCTTCACCCTGTCCTTTGGTGTTTCCATCCTACTAGTCACAGAATCTTCTGGCTCCCAACTTCAAAAACGGGAGACCTACTCTACCTAATCGCTATGTGCATTTCTTCATGCCTCATCATCACGTTCAAGATTGGATGAATTAACCATAGGATGAACAGGTGTGCCAGCGAGACGGAGGACTCCCCGCTTCAGGGACCGAAAATAGTCTGTTTGACAGCTCAGAATGATTTTATATAATGTTATCTGATCATTGTAAGACAGTAGCTGTATATGATATACAGATGAGCTGCGGGTTAGCCTTTTGTGATTTGAAGCGGGAGAGAGAGAGGAGGAGAGTAATATGGTCCACGGAGTCCAAGCCGTCTTCCAACGGCATAAAATAAGTGTTTGTTCTATCCAATAAATCCTTACATTTTGTGGTTTATCAAATGTCCAAATCTACATTGATTAATTATTGTTAGTCTATGCAGAGTCAGCTGGGTCTAAACGCAGAGCAGTCCTTACGCGTACATCTTTTCGCCGCAACCAATTAGTGTTATAAGCACCAGCGTGCATCCAAGATGCGATGTGCGCTATTTTCAATCTCCTCGCTTGTGTCAAGATCAACATTAAAACTTACCCACAATTCAAACTAAGATTTCCCCTCCGTCTTTGAAAAAAGGAACCACAAAGGCATGTGGTCTCATTTATTGTACTTCAGTGCATCTAGCCTGGCTTTCTGATACTTGGACATCAATCTTCCAATTATTCCAGTGACTTACCGTAGTCATGTGAACTGATACGACTTCATACAGTTTTGTTTACGCTGGCGTACATTTTCATGATTTACCCTGTATTAATGTTACCCAACCTAAATAATTTTCTTACCCCATTCCGTTTCATTCCGGTACTCTTTTATTTTTCAGCGAATCGTTGGAGAAAGCTGCATTTGAACGACTCAAGGTTATGCCGTCTCCTGATTAATGCAGCTGTCGCACTCCCCTTGAACTCCGAATAGTCCCATACTTGCCCCTACAAAGTCTCTTGTCGCATGTGCGTTCCGTTCTCCGCGCCATACACGTGCAGTTTATTTCCAATCACCTGTACTTGTCAACATACACCTTCCCTGTTATTCCATCTCCGTTTGAACACACGCATCGTGTATGAGCACGTGCTAGTCACTGTGTCCTCCACATTGCAGAGTGCAGCGAATGTGACCTCACTCGTGTTGCCGTACACTGCTGTAAACGAGTCGCCCATTCATCATTTATTTTCGTTTAATGTTCGTTCGTTTCGCAGTTGTTGCACTTTGTCAACCATATAGTTCGATCGCAATCCACTGTTATCACTTTAGCTCCGCAGGGTAGAACAGTGGTGGAAAGAAACAGCATTTTCACACCTTGCTCCGAATCACGTCCATTTACCACAATTAGGTGTTTGATCCTTCCGTTTTGTTTAACAGAGTACACAAATAAACCACTTGACGCAGTGGGCCACTCCCGACCAAAATTCTTGTCTGATTCCACGTCTTGGGGTGTTAAAAATGGAAGCAAACTTGCATAATGAGAGTGCTTCCCACATTGTGGTTCCATTCTGAAATCCTGTCATCATCGATTGTCTTCAGGTGGTGGTTGCGCAGTGATTTAGTCGCTGGTCTGAAGTTCGAGCCCCACCACCCAGCTTTGGGCGTAGGCAGCTTTGCTGCCGTCCGGTTCCGTATCACGCTTAATCTGGCAGAGCATTACGTGGTTCGCCATTCCAAGTCTCGGGGCTTAATTTGTCGGTTTCCATCACTGAACAGCAGGTCCTCGTGACTGTGGGGTTCCACCTCGTCTGCTCCTCATACTAAGGCATGCACGAAAAAAGGCATTGAAAATCTTGTCAGCAATCTGAACTCAATGCATTTCTCATCTATCTGTTTGACAGACTTCGACGACTGGGTATAATCACTCGATCCATCCTGTTTGTCACCCCCGTTAACCGAATTGGGATTACTGATCTTGGGCTATCGCCAGGCCGTGAATTGACCGCCACGACGCTTCCGGCCCTAATCAGAACTCGGGAAAGTCGATGGACAGTAGTGTGTCGCAGCTGGCTAGGATTGTTTTTATGGGACGCACACACCTAGCTGGGCACCAACGATGCCTAGATTTACTAGGCCGAACTTGAAATGCTCGACCGGCAAAGGTAGCTCCCTAACCATGATTACGTTGAACAGATCAAGAAACTCCAGTTCACTGGGGGGGGGGGGGTCTGTTCATCGAATAGTGGGACGGAATGGATCAACTGATGTGTTTCCTCCGCTCTAATCTAAAGCGGCCCATGACTGTCTTTTGGTGACGTAGTCACTACCGAACTTTACTTGCCGAAGTGCGTGAACTGTTACCACATCCTCGGGTATCGTAAATCTGTTACTCCAGGACATTTTACCGAACCGGTCTCGGGTGCTAATTTTATTATTCCCCGGATTCATTTGTGCTGGTTTTCATAGTCCAGGTCATGTTTTCGAGGCGATAAATGTTCACACCTTTTTTCACGTCCTCCGTTATTTACCTACGAAAACATTCATCGAATCGGATCATACGTGAAACCCGGTGATCTAGGCGAACGCAGTTGGTGCGCGCCTGCTCTGAACGGTGAATTCCCGGGGGTTGTTTCTGTTGCATATTTGTTCGTGTTGTCTACTTTTCTGACGGATCAAAACATTTTTCGGGGTCGATCAACCGGCTTAGATATACGCTGGGCGGAAAGTTTTGTATCCGACCCACTCACGATCGTCATCCGTTGGATCCTTGAACTATGGATGTAGGCTTACCCTGGACATGGGCAAAGGGAAGTCCTTTTAATGTGAACTTAGTCTTGTCCTGACAGGTTCAGTGATCTGAAATTTTATGAATTACGGATTTGTCTGACCAATTCTATTAGTGAAACTCATCTCACGTAGATGGACAAACAGAAGCGCCTCTATTTCAGTCACAATGATGGCATTGTTTAGCAGTAGGACGGTGTTTCTTCTGTCGAATTCAGGTTTCTTTATCAACTGCTACTTCGTTCAGCACATACTCTCTCGTTTTTCATTACGCAATCAGTGCAGTGGTAACCAGCGCGATAATCTGTACGAACAGTGGAATCAACGCTGAGGTCTTTTGTTTTTCCGGTGTCT